AGTGTCTCTAAGGGTGTGGCATGCCAGCAGCAGATGCTTACCCTTCACGCGCACCTGGTCTGACTCCCTTGTGGGGGTTTGTGATGTTCCACTTCCATTGATTTTGTCAGCATATTTTTGCTAGACTACTGATATTTGGCAAATGGCTTATTGGTACTACTATAATTATTTTAGTACCGGTATAATACATTTTTAAGATACAAATTATTTTGACCATAGAAATATCACAGCATGTGGTACTAATAGGGCAAATATGGTATTATACATTACTGACCAAATGTGGGTGTTGTGATGACAGGAATTCATTTTTCAAACATTGGGAAAACCAAATGACCGATAGGGGCTGTAACATTATTGCATGTATCTCAGTTGATATACATTACTCTCCACACTAGTGACAAACATCAACGGTTATAAAAATATTCAATAGCACAATAACAAGGCTGTCATCTTGAGAAATCGTTTTGATGTAAAACAACACAGTTTATTGATAATTAAATTTCACAACACAAAGGTGTAAGATAATAAACCTACCTTGTATCGTCATATGTATACCACCTATCCGAGGCTGCATGTTTACAATATGCAGTATAATGACCACCATATGTACTACCAGAATGGTTAGATACACCATAGAGATCATAAGGTGGAGCACAACCTAAAAGACAAAACAAAATTTGATTTTATTGCTTCATTTTACACAAATGTACATATGAAACTTCAAAAAATAGAACGGTTTGTCGTTCAGTCGTTGGTTGAAAAATAAAGTACATGTAATGTTCACAGTATTTATAGGTTTGTTGAAATATACGAGTCCTAATTTTTTTACTTAAATAAAGATAATGAATCACACTTTTTCACACAAAGTGGCAGATTGTTTCAGAGTTTAGAAGCAAGATTCAGAAGGACCCATTTTTCCACATGATGATTGTACAAAATGTTCTTAGTAGATGTGTTTTAGAACGAAGATCACAAATGAGTATCTATGGCTTTAGAAGAACTGATAAATAAGGTGGAGGGTGGTCATAAACTGCCTTGTAGGTGATTAAAAGAAGTTTGAAGTCAATATGGGTATGAGTAGCCAGTGAATGTTGTGTAGAATAGGTGTGATGTTTTCAAACATTTCACTATTATTAGTGATAAGACAGGCAGATGTGTTATGAACATAGTGCTTGTTTATATTGATGAGATCCTGTAAAATTGGCAAGTTTGGATTTTACAAATGCATGGATCTAAAAACATACCATCTGATTTGTGAGGTACTGTTCGATTTTTCAGATGCAGATGCAGAAAAAAATGCTCAGAAAGTTTATATCAAATCTGCTTGAGACATACAAAATTTATTAACTATGATGACAGACATGTTTTCCCCTATATATTAAAACCTTATTACTTGACCACAAACAGAACATTTAATCAGCGTTCAGTAGCATGGAAACAACTCTCACCTGTTGCACTGAAATCATCTAATCTTAGATTGCTTCGAGGATAATCCACTAAAGTAGACAGTTTAGAACGATAACCATGAGCTGAAAATCGTTTTAGATCTGATAACAAATGGTTAAGGATAAAAACAGTTTGTATTAATCTGAAATGATATCTTTGAAAGAAAATTAAAAGATGATTAAAACAAGAGATTCAAAATAATTTATTGGCTTCAAAAATTTCAACAGATCTCAAAATTGTGCTTTTTTTAGATTTTTAAAATTTCTTCCACCTTACGGTTTTTCATCTTGAACCAAAGGTTCAACAAAGGTGTGATTTCCATACTAATACTATAAAACACACATATATTTATAAAAAAGGATACGTAGCACCAATATTTTAGGAAATTTCTGAATAGTGAGTTTCTTAGTACACTTGCGTTTCTCCTGACACTGGGAACAGGTCTGAAAAAGAAAAAACAGTTAGAACATACTAGAATAAACAAGCCATGCATGGCACAGTTCCTGTTAGTTATCAAATTTAAGATATATAGTTTTGTTTATAGTAATATAGCTGGAATATAACCATGTCAGGAATATGATTTTTTTAACATTAAAATGATTGACATCTGATCGTCAAACAAGTACTTGTCCATATTGAGAGATATTGCTCTGGAACAGCATTCAAAATCAGCCATTTTGAATACATGTATATATAAAACATGATGTATACGTATATATAAAATTTGAATATAATCAGTCAAAGCATTTAAGAGATATGGCTCTAGAAGCCCAATCATTAAAACAAAATGGCCGCCAGTCAGCCATTTTGAATCCAATCTGAAAAATAAAATGACGTGCATCAAGGTCTTATAATGTCTAATGCATATACTAATTCTGAACAAAATCCATCTGTAAACAACCAAGAAATGCTTGATTTGGATGATTTTTAGCACAAAAATGGCTGCCATTCGACCATCTTGAATCAGATTGTGAAACAAATTGACGTGCATATGTATAATATCATGTATGATGTATGTATGAAGTTTGATTGTGATTGGTCCAGGCATTTCTAAGATAAGGTCCGGACGCACGCACGCACAAACACACGGAGGTCAAAACATAAGTCCCCGTTTTCGGACTGCGTCCGAACAGGGGCTAAAAAAGTATACGGTAAAAATGATTTCAGGTGAGCATGACATAACAGTATGTTTTATTTAATCCTGTATAGTGAATAACC